GGTGACAGATTGTCTTTAGCCATGGCACTGTCTCCAACTAAACTGCATGCGAATAAACAGCTGGGGAAAGCAAAACCAATTACTCTTAATACAGAGTTCTGCAAACAGCTTACTGCATGCACTAAATTTTCTCTATCAATCCAGCTCTCCCACCTGGCAAAACGCGTAGTTAGTTGCACTTAACGACTCGAGTCCCTGGCTATTGCTGAACGTCACGTTCTGCCAGTCAGCGTGCATCGCCTTGGGCAGGTCTAGAAATGCCATCCAGTCCTATGGTGCAATAACAAGATGATTATCAATTTACAGTAACATCGAATGCTCTGGAGTGAAAGTGGCGGGGGACATCTCTCGATCGTCCAGGCATTAAAAAGTGCCTGGATTTTTGCCATTTCCTAGTGTAGCCGTACAGGGGGGCGTGCCTTGCAGTCCGTGAAGCTATGCAAGATGTCTTACAAAAGGGGATTTTCCGGAAAAGTATTGTTCCATTTGACTTTCAACCGAAATTTCTGGATTCTTCGGCAAAATGATAAGCACCCTACAGATCTAATAATTTTGGTTTTACTACAAACGTGAACAACACTAGCTTGGTAGCCTCGTTCCGGAATGAGGTTGCGTGCTTACTAAACTCTGCTCTTAAATTTTCGGTGTAAAATATCTCCTAAGGCAGTTATGAAAAGCGTTGAATATTTGTTAGGCTGCTATAAGCATCATGTTATGTTTATTTTTTCACTTACCACGATTATGTCTTCATGCAATCCGTCAAAATTTTGCATTTCTCGCGAACACACTGTAAACTTCCCCACTTCAACATTTTCGGCCCAGACGGTCGCGGCATCGTGATTGCGTTCTGCATACGTGTGCTCACTGGATACCAGAACATACGGAGGCCGAGGAAACTTTCCCTGAAATACAAAAAAATTGAACGAAGAGTACAAAATAAATATGCCATGGAATTTACCACCAATATTTCTTTTAGGTGGCTGGGAAAAGTTTCTAGCACTTCCCAAGACTTGGGCAGTTATTAGTGACTCGGATGACAAATATCCCAGACTTGACAAATGAACAATGTGAAGCAAAGATACGAAACAGTTTTTTAGTAATGGTGCACATGAAAAGCAAAAAGTTAGACATGGGGTGGGGTAGTTCCTAGTAATATGCTAATGGTTGTGCCGCTGGATTTGGTCGCATTTTCACGATTGGATTAATTATAATGGGGTTACATTTTCGGCAGTAGAATTTCTAGAATGGGGTTGCACATTTTCGGGATTTTTGGGATGAGAAAATTCTGGGAAGTAGGGATTTAAAAATGAGAAGATTCATGGTGAAAAAAAGTTAGCGTTCTACAATCAGTTTAATAAATGTGTTACTTCTGTTCATTTTAGAATGAACTAGTCAAAAGGCTTTATAAGGTAGGTGCGCAAACAGAAAGTGACTAAGTTGAGATCGCGAAAATGATATTTGCATGCTCAAGAATGACTAACTGATGGGGTCTACAATTGGCCACAGAATAGAGTATAATGAGGTAGGGGATTATGAGGGTAGCAGCACATCCTCAGCAAAAATTGACCCAAGTACCCTACCCCCGAGCCCCAGGGTTGGATATCTCGACACGGGCGCTTTTACCGGACCAGTCGGTGAAAGATTCTGACATGTTTACAAAAACGCACGATAAAAATGATTAGGTGATACTCAGTAGAACACACCTGAGGAAAAGAGACTTCCTTACAGTTTGTTCCATCCCACCAGCTTGTGAGATGCTCATGTCCTGTTACAGATCCCACGGGGTTGCCTTGATACGCGATGAAATCTACGTATGTGAGCCCACCGTCTGGAGGTACACGGTCGAGCCTCCCAGCAGTCAACACACAGATTCGAAATTGCGCAGAGGAGACATCCTCGGTCCAGGCTACCGCAGCCTCGTGGGTATATTTCGCGGATGAGTTGAAGTAATTAACTGTAAGCTGCACGTGGATTGGCTTGTTTACGAGGAAAATGGAGTTGCTAAGCGAAATTTGTTTGCACTGAGCTTCTGTACTACCAAGATAAACAAAAGCTCGCCCTCGATAGAACAAAAACGCTGTTGAAGGAGAAATTAATTGAACTGCGATTAAAACGTTCAACTCGTTTGTAAGGTAGGAAGGGATGGAGGGGGAGGATGACAAAAGTTTCCAACAAGCAATCTAGTCATAAGAAGAAGGGAGTTTCCTAGCAACATGAAGTAATAGTACGGTGACAATGTATAACCGAACCCTCCCCGAAAGGTAGCGCATCAGGCACAAGCTTCTATATTTGGTGGTCTTTTCTCTGAGTCCAAGCCTCTTTTGAGAATTGAGGGACAAAAGAAACTTTAAAAAATTGCAATTTTGTCCTAAAAGCCTCGGAGCTATGTTCGAATATTAATATAGATAACGTGGTTTATTCTTATTGCTGGCCACTGCGACCAATGCTAGGCGCGGGAAAACTGCGATTAATACTAAGCGCGGGAAAACTGTGACCAATACTAAGCGCGAGAAAACTGCGACTAGTGCTAAGCGCGGGAAAACTGCGATCAATGCTAAGCGCGAGAAAACTGCGACTAATGCTAAGCGCGGGAAAACTGCGACCAATGCCAAGCGAGGGATAGCTGAAGCCCATATAGGGTCCATATAATGCACGGCAAAAGCTGATCTGCTCAACACTTTATGCTTGTTTGGCTCAGTCACAACCTTGCGCAGATATATAGAACGAAATTTCCACATTTTATCGAACAAAAGTAAGTTTTTACTTACGCTCACAGCTTCCATTTTTCTTCACTCCAATGAACTTTTGTTCCGAACACGACTCCTTCTGTAAGAACCCAAAATTCCGATAAGTGACCTTATCATCTGAGCAAACCTCGTCTTCGTAGACCGGTGGGACTTCATTGCACACGCATCTGCCGTCATTTCGACCAAAGACTTGACACGTGGCATAATAGGAACAAACGATCTTTTGACAAGGATCCAAATCTACACACAAAAAAAGGAAAAAATTGGAAGAGACTACAAAATTCTACTACAGGGCATGCAAAAATAACGTTGCTTCAGGGTTGTGGGTGTGCTCGACTATTGGGGATCTGGGGCAGAGAATGTATCAGATACTTGCGCACGCTGACTCCCACTAACGTCTATACACTTTAGCCTGAAAGAGAAGTTTACAGTACTCTTGATATTTGAATGTTTTTAGGGAATTTTCAAATATCACTCATAATGTAAATCCTTAATTGCGCTCGCATTCATACGATAACCAATGCAAATTTAATATAATTGTTATTGACTTACCACCAAAAGCTATGTACTGAACAGTTATGGGATCATGATGTCTATTGATTGGTTGCAAGTCTTTAACGCATGCTGTGAAACCGACTTTGTCGAGATCCTATGGAAATAAAATAGCAGGGGGAAACAGTGAGCCAATAAAAAGGCAATAGATAAAGAGATCATGTTTGTGTACTACACCCCCGTACAGACCTAAAGGCTTAGATACATCTTTGAAGTTTAATTGTCTTGTAGCGTTAATTATCCGGGAATTGAAATGTCTCGCCCAAATTTATAGAGGCTGTATGGGGACGCCATGTTGGTTTCCCTCGGAGGAGCACCAAAGTGGCGGCCGTAAAGTAACAGAAACATCTGTCATTTAGTTTTGCCATTAAGACGACAAGTTATCACAAAAGAGTTCCGACACATTGAAATAAGTACTTGGTCTAATGATGGACTGTTCAGTTAACAAAAACGTAAAAGATAAACCATCTTTTCACTTACACGACATGCCCTCTCAGGCCGCCATTTTAATTCACGCGACGCAAATTAATGGGAATTCAAACGTGTTCTGTTACAAAACGATGAACCCTGTCAAGCTAAAACTTAGTAAGACATAAAGTTCTTAAAGACAATATGTCTGATGTCATATGTCTGATAGGTAGCATTTTGTGTTGGAATATGATGACGTCACATGAAAACCCGCAATTCCAAATTTCTTTTGAGTTAGCAACCTTTCTGTAGCGTTCATTTGTCCATAGTTAGCTATGATTTGTCTTTATACCTAGTGGCCTACCATCCTGTTTACAATAAATTAAGAAGGAATAAATAAAGTGTACGTCCTGTTTTTGTAAAGACCCACCTCCACCCACGAGGTAATGGCGTTATACTCTGGACTGACGGTTCTCAGTTTCCCTTCGTTGTGATCGTGCCTCGGGCTGAGAAGGAGGACAGGAGCCTGGTAGAAAGGTTGCTTGAATAGAATTTCCTTCGAAGACAATTAACGTCATCCCAAAAGTCAACATTTAAAAAAATGTTATCAATTTATTATAAAAAATGTCTTGGGCGGGTTTTGAATTTTTTTTTCTTTTATGGCTAAATATTTGGCGAAAATTAATCACGAGCTAAAATTGATTGCCTAGTTTAACATTTTTGAAACCACCGTCAATATTTTCTATAATCATTCTGTCATATTTACGTGCCCTCGCTCTCTCACCTCGCAGAAACTATATTTAAATCTTTCTTCTGGCGTTCCTGTATTTTCAAACATGATTTTCGATTTCTCGCGTATTTTCCATCCTTTAGGCGTTGTGACGAGAGCAATCCAGTGCTGAAAAAAAAAAAAAAAAGATTGTCGTGAAAGAACTTGAAATTGGAATTGGACAAAGCTCAACGAGAATAACTGCATAGCTGAAGACTTTGCAAACAAGTAACATAAGGTATTTTTTTCCATTATTTCTATACCCAGGAATTCAGTAAGGCCAATAATGAACAAACTTACTCCGAAACCACAGTTTCACATGGAAGCTGTCTGAAATCATATCCTAAGTCATTTGCAAAAACAATAAGAAGTGAAATTTGATATATGATGATATTGCACATGTCGGTAACGCGCTGGGTTGATAAATTCTTACGCTTGAAGCGAGAACCAGCTTGTTTGAAAAACAAATTGGAAATATAGCGAGCATTTCTGGAGTACTCAGCATAGGCCATGTCAAAGATGTTTCATAGCAAACTCACCACGCGGATGTTTGCATGACCGCCACTAAAGTTCGTCACTTCTCGCAGATAGAGTTTAAATCCAAAAGTTGTGACATCTTCGCTCCAAACGGAGGCGGCGTCTTTTCTTTGATGCGGAGTACTGTGAACCGGAGTGACGAACACTTCTGGCACTGGGTTAAGTTCCTGGAATGAAAAGAAGAGACCCAACCATTGGTTATGCATGGCTAGTAATTCCTGTTTTCTGAATCGATAGAAAACTGTTTTTAATATAGAGGTTGAAAAGCAAAGTTCCGCTAGGAAATCCAGTCATAAAGAAAGAAATAACTGAACTAAAACAACAGAAAAAGTAGCTTGGAAGATTTTAAAAATGAAATCTACTCCGTAATTTCAGCGTAAAAACTAACGGTAAAAGCGCGCGACGTTTCCACCGAACTTCGGTCATTATCAAGCTTAAAAGTTTAGATAAAAATTTTGCACAGGTATAAACATAAAACAAAGAAATAAAAGTATGTAAAGTATGAAAATGTAACTGAAGGGTGTTAAGAACAATGAAATGCACATCAAGATTTATAATTTCACATGTGAAATTACAAAATTGCCATAGCAACATTTGGCGCGAAATTTCTTGAAATAATACACAAGTCAAAAACCAACGATTGTAAGCGTAATTTGTCACCCATGATATTAACAAGTAATCAAATGGTATGTTCGTAAAATTAAGAAGTAATTTCACTCGCGTTTTGTCAAAATTCTAAAAATTTCCCTCCCCTTTTTTAATTTCACTCGTCATCATTTGCCATAAATATTTTGCACTTCAGAGCAAATAAACAAAACGCATAATTTTTTACTCTCACAGGTAACGTATCTATTTAATAAGGTGCGGATTACGGATCGAGTGTTAATGCTAGGAGTTTTGGCTTGCGCTATGAACAATACAGATGAACTTGGCCTTAGCGCAGTACACAGTAATAGCTTTGAGATTTTTCCGGTATCTCTAAAGATGTGCACCACATACCCAAGGAAACGAGATATGAACATGACTTGTTCCACTCGTCCAAAATGGAATGTCCACGATTCCTGCTGCACCGTCTTGTGGCTGTCCGCGAAGCGCCAGCCAATGAACGGTCACCACCTGCAAAGTGAAGGAGGTCTTATTCAGCGTAGCTTTTACTGGGGGGGAGTGGGGGGAGTGGGGGGGGGGAGGGTCGGGGATGCGT